TTTAGGAATGTTCTCCATTTCATAATTTGAAAAATACAGTGCTTTGAATCTACCTCTTTTCCAATATTCTCAGCAACCATTTTTGAAAGTAAATGTTGCACATATTTTTGAAATGGGAAGAGCTATCTTGTTGCATTCCCACTGTATCAGAGATCAAGGAGGGGTGACTTCTATATTCACCTGTCTTTGAGTCAGTTCAAGCTCTCTCTGCAATGTGGGCCTCCGTGAACTCAGAGCATGGCGGGATCAAAGAGTATAAAGCTGCAGGCTTTCGATTCAGCTTCCTGGGCCAGTGGGGTCCTAAAGTGGGCCCTTCTGTTTCCTAGGTGGGCCTCTATCTATGCCCTGGCACTGGCCTGAAAGATCTCCTGGGATTCAAATCCAAATGGTGACCCAGGAGACCATATAAAGACCATATAAACCAGTGTTTCCCAAACTTTGACTTGTATAACAGTCACCTAGTGTTTGTTAAAACAGTTTTTCTGGGCTCCACCCACAGGAATTTTGATTCACTAGGTCAGCATTGGCCTATGAACTTGAATTTCTAACCAGTGTATAGTCGATGTCCATGTTGCTGGTAAGGGTATAGCACTCTGAGAACCAATGTGCTGAGAGATGAGGCCAGGCCACCGGTGTTGGTGGAAAGGTGGCACAGGCTCTGTGGAGCACAGGTGGGTCTTGAGGACATTTAGTATCAGGGCAGGATTGACAGTTACCTAGTTAGATTCAGTCCTTCCCAGCTTTTCCTTGGTTGGCATTATTTGGCACACATGGAAACCACAACTTCAACTTTCTGCATTTACCACTTTTTTACATGATTTGGGTCTAGAAGGAAAATGCTCATGGACCAGTTTTCTAGGAACCAGAAAGGTTGTATTATTCCTGGATTACACCAAATACTGGTCATTTTAAAAACTGCTTGATTGAACTATATTTCATATGCTGTAAAATTTGCCAGTTGTGAGAGAAGAGTTCAAGTATTGCTTGCAACTTTATGTTGTACAACCATCACTGCAGGGCAGTGTGAGAACATTTCCATCATCCCAGAAGGCTCCCTTAAAATCTGGTGCTTTGGATTGTTTATGAATGATGTTACCTATATGTTCAAATGCCTTTCCAGTGGAGGACAGTGCCTTTTCAAGCCCTTTTTATCGAGTTAGACCCAGTAAATATGTTACAGGCCACCCGTTTCCTTACTCATTGGTTTCTCTTCATAAATAAGTCTGTATGTCACTTGCCTTAAAGGAAATAATTCAGCCAATGAGCATTATATACTGGGTGCCAGCTACTGCTTTGCCATCTCTTAAAACGAGCATCTCACAATGCTTCATGAGTGTACTTCTCACAGTTTAAGAGTAGCTTAATAGTTTGTTAATTCAGTAGTTGTGTATTTGCATGCCCGTTGTATACCAGGCAGGGCACTACACTAAAGAATTCAAAGATGAGTAGTACATGCTGCCTGGCTTCAAGGGGCTCAGGATGCTAGGAGATGAGACAAAAATGCAAAGTAATAAATATAGTATAATGCTGTAATTAAGTCCTATGGAAGGTCCCAATCTTAGGGTACCAGGGGGAACAAATACCTTTAAATGCTGTAATTTTTAAATGCTAAGTGGCGTTCTTATCCTAGCAGTTGGTTTCTCTGCCTCATCTGAACTCTGCTACCCAAACATGATCTTTCTTGAGAGGCTTATGAGACACAAAATCTTCTCTTTAAAAAAACAGAGCATCTCAGTAAAAGGTTGCAGTTTTAAGCACAATGGTCCCAACAGTGATGCATCATCTGAGGGTCTACATTTTACAGTGAGAATGAACAGTAGAGTTAATCTCCCTGTGCTGCATTAAGTATTTGGAAGAAGATTGATGAAAAAGTTCCTTTTCTCATTGAGAAGACAGGACTTACACATAAAGAATTAAAGCAGAGGTGCATGGTAAAGATTTAAATAGGAGACGTGTCTAAACATCCAGGTAAATGCTGTGACAGGAAATGCTTTTGGGGAACAGAGTTTGCTTCCCCTAAAATGGAAGTGTTGAATGCCTCTTAATCATTCAGAGGCAGGCAGGGCTCAAGGGCCTTACAGAACACTGGGTGGTTACACAAACCAAATGCCACTATCAGAGTAAGGCATAAAGTTAAAGAGGACTTTCCTTCCCCCTCATATATTTGTCCCTTATTTATCTGTATTAATTAAATACCCCAATTTAAACTAGCACTGTAGAAAATACATGGGCTGGATCATCAGGGAAGCTGAGATGTGCAATTTACAAGTCTTGTTGCGTCATTTAATGCTATCTGTGTTTTAGGCTTTCCCCATTTGTGACAGAAAAACAAGGCACTTGGTTTCCTTGGAGCATGACTGGTAATCTTTGGAATGATCACAAAGTGATGATACTTGAACAGAAAAACAGGCATAAAGCTACAAAGCAAACATGCTTTTACCTTAGCCATTTCTGGTTTGCTTTTCAAAATCCAATCTTTTCCTTCGTTTTTCATATTTTTGAATTGGGCGTGATTATCCATTTCCCCTCTCCCCGCAAACATATTCCAGTGTAAGGAACAGGAGAGAAGGGACCTGTCACACCTTCCTCTTTCCTTTGGAGGCCACCATGGTTAAGAACCATGTGTGTGCCCAGGAACTGGTGGGTCACCATGAATCCTCTTCACTAGGTCTAACGTGCTCTGGTTTTAAACATTAGGCTGGTCAGAGAGCAAGGTCAATCCTCCTCCTACTCCATGGCCAGCATCAAAGACAAGCAGACCAAATGAAAACAGCTCTGCAGTAAAAGGTAATATGGTGTCTTATCCCCATGAAATGATAATCTCCTTCCTTTCCAGTGGCCTAACCTATTTTCTGTATTTCTTTACTAATTTCTCTTTGAGTATCTAGGGCTCAACGGAGAGCTATGAGATGGAGAGTTTTGCATAATCTTAGAAATTACATTCTAACTTTTCTTTTCTGGCTTTATGTCCTACTATCCTTTATCAAACTATACCCAATGTGGATTAATCAAGCATTTAGTCACATGTGATTTGGTGGTCCCCAAGACTGGGTGGAAATATCAAGGAAGGAAAAGCTGCAGAAGTTCGCTGTCTCTACCGGACATACCCTTCCCACCACTAATAGGGCATTTAATTAGTGCTCCCCAGAATGGCTCAGATTTCTAATTCATCAGCAGAGGTGCCCGTCCCCCAAGAGAACCTTTGCTCTTCAGGACTTGCAGCTCATCAGAGCCCATCAGTATCTGCAGCTCTCTCTGTTTCTTTGGTCATCACCCACCGGCTCTTTGTTGACCACAGGAAGTTAAAGGAAATGTCTATTCCATTACCATCAACAAGTGTTCCTGTGACGTTCTTTTAAGTGTTGTGCAAATAAGTTGCACCTGGTTTTGTCTCCAACAGTGGCAGCCTGGGGAACATGAGAGTCACCTCAAAGTGCAGTCACACCCAGCTCCTTGGAGCAGGGCCATGGTCACACTGAGGACCTTGTAAGACCTTTGCGGAGGAGGTTAGGAGGAAGGGGAAGTGAGCATGTGGCGTGTTTTCACTGGAGATAGCGTTAAGATATCTTGATACTCTTTATCAAGAGTCGAGACAGATTAATCCACCTAAATCAGTCTTGCCCCATACAGTTTCTTTGTGTGACCTGTTTACATGACAAAAGAAAGGCCAGTTACTCCCTTTTTGTTAAGCATTCCCCCCTTGTCCCTCAATCATGCTATATTAAGCTCTTTCCAGACTGAGATAATCACATCAAGATAAACCTGGTGTTTTGAAGTCTAACTGCATGTAGAATTCAATTTAACGTTACATAGCAATAACTTGCATATTAGAAACAAGTTTTGGTATAGTACTTTTATGTCTGTAATAGATACCTTGACTACCTTATCATAAAGTGATATATCCCCAAGAGATTTGGGGAAAAAAAGAAAGTGAGGAAAATCAGGAGTGTTAATTGATCCCTATACTACCTTAGCATTTTAGTGCCATTATAATGAAAGGTTCAAAAACGCTGTTTATATTGATAGAATCCCATTGCTTCTGTCCATCACTAATCACTTTTAGCAACTTGTCCTCTCAGTATTTTTTGAGACTCTTTTCAGCCAGGTGGCAAGCACATTCCTAGCTGCTCTTAACTAGAAGGATAACCCATCAGAGAGACATTTTCTTCATGCTTCTGACACTCCCACCTGCTGAAGAAGAAAAAAGTACAGGTCATCCAAGCCAATGAACTTAGATTCTCATGTGGAATGATTTATATTAAAAAAAAAAAAAAGAACCCCCATGTTGTTTAAAAATCACTTGCATGAGACATTCTTTTGAAAGTGTTCTCCTCATCTGGGAAATAATTTGGCTCTTTAATGGTGGGGCAGGTGTTCTGGTGGAAGAGCAGTAGGAGGGGGTATTCCAGGGAAGCTGAGGGGTGAGGGGATTCTGAGCCCCCTGGGAGAAAAGTGCTCACATCTCCTTTGACAGGAGAGGGTTGAGAAGGCAGTAACCCTGGGAAAACACAAGACACCGGGCCTGGGCACCAACCCTTTGGGCCTGTTGCTTTGAAGTTTGCAAAGAGTGGCCGTAATCAATCTGCTGACCCAGCAGATTTGAAAAGATTCCTCCTGCAGACACTGGAAAGCCCCTTGCTTTCTGAAATAACTGTGCTATTTCCTGGCTGCAGTGAAGCAGCAGCATCTGACGTTTTGAGAGACTCCCTAGGCTGTGGCTATCAGCAGAGCTGGGATGCAGGTGGGGGGGCTGGTGAGCACAAGAGCTGATTCTTCACTGAGCTTCAGGCTCAGGTGCAGAAATGTTAACTAACCAGCCACCCAGTGGGGCAGGGCCACATAGAATTCCCTAAGGATTGTTAGAGATGGAGTGCAAGGGCATTTGAATCATTGAACACCTCCCTTCTCAAGATGACTCTGGACCCGCCTGCATCTGGTGTGGCAGTGGTGGGCATTTATTTAGAAGGTGGGTTTGCTGATGTTTCCTCTTCTCTCTCCAGACTCTGCGAAGGCTGCCTCAGACCTGACTGCCTGGTTCAGCCTCTTCGCTGACCTCGACCCACTATCAAATCCTGATGCTATTGGGAAAACTGATAAAGAACATGAATTGCTCAACGCATGAGCCTGCAGCCTTCGGGAGGAAGCCCACTAGCTGCTCTTCAGCCGCTGACCTGGGGGCCAGCAGCAGTGTAAAGTGTTCAGTATGCTGTTTTAATATTTATGTGCCATTTTAATAAAATGAAGGGGTCAAAGGCCCTGTTTATATTGGTATAATTATTTACTCTTATTTGGTAGAAAGGGTTTTAGTGTATCTCTCTGTGGCTCTCCCTGTCACAGGAGTGTCTTGAAGCAGTGTCCAGGTAGCTTCTGCTGTCCTGCCCACATCCTATCATGGTGGCCATCGTGTCACTGGGCTACTGTGAGATCCATGTCCCAGTCATGAACCTACGTTGTATCAGGTTTCAATGCCATGTCCTACAGCCTCAGAGGCAAAAGACCAGAAAAGCTTACATGCCACCTGTCCCCCTGCCTCTGTTTAGAGGGGGTTTGCAGGACGATTTTCTTTTCCTGTCCGGGCACCTTCTAGCCAGCTCGTGACAAAGCTCCGGCCAACCAAAGCACTTGCCTGGTGGTCCACAGGTTCCCGCCCTGGTGGAGGAGCCGGGCTTCTCCCTGCTGCACAGACTTTCTAAGGAAAGTGGCCATATTGCAGACACCAGTGTCTCCTTGGTCCTCTTCTTGGCTGGAATTCAAAAGCATGTATTTCTGGAGCCCCTTGTGACGTTTTTTAAAAATTAAATAGAAACGATCTTTGACATGCAAAGCTCATGGAGTCTGTTGTGGGGACTCGGTGTTGTGCTGTGGGAGGCCCTACGGTGTCAGGGCTGGAGGGACAGAAGAGGACAATGGATCCTACCTGCAGCCTGAACACCAATGACTGGAACCCAAGCATCCCCCAGATAAGGCAGGGGTGGTGGGAAGATGCCATCAGGCTTTTGCAGGATCAGACAGGAGTGAGAGCAACAGTCTGACCTCTGGGAGTAGGAGTGACTCAGAAACTACCATTGTTAAAGACACCAGAGCTGGCACCTTTCCTCCCTTCTTTATGTCACAGGTGACCTGCTGTATAAGGGCCATACACATCCACAGAAGTCCAAGTACACCCTTTTCAATGAGCTAGTGGCCCTGAGTCGGGGTGTGGTCAATGATTAACCAGGAATTGGCTCTTGGTGCTTGGCTGGTCTGGGGTCTCTCCTGGGCTCCTGTTGCTTTCGTGCCCAGCTCTGGAAGGGCTGCTGGGACCTCCTCCTAAAACACACACAGGAAAGCCTTCAAGGAACAGCCTGGCCAAAGCAGTGTCTATCCTAGAAGACTCTTTGGAGGACTGGGGTGGGGATGGGAGCTGCTAGAGAGAGGTGTTTCTCTGGGCAGGAAAGGATCCTGCAGGCAAGATGGGGCTGAGACCAGCATGTTACGGAGCTTAGGTAACTGAGCTCATGCGCAGCCCCAGCCTAGTCTGTCTGGGAATCCTCATTTGGTAGAATCTCATTAAGCAGATTCCTTAGCCCGGCATTCGTGGACTGTGAGGTTCAACACTGGGGCCTTGGCCTGTGACCCTTACCACACTCACACAGGAGTACTTGCCATAGCCCTGACTGCCACCACCCAACCAGGGCCTCTGCACCTAGGGACACTGTCACAAACCTGTGCACCCCTCAGGAGCCTCCCCAGAGCCCATGTGCTCTGCACTTTCTGCAAATGCAGCCTCCAGGTCTCCTGGAGAAAGAGTCCTACCAATTCTTCAGTCCCTGCACTCGCACTCCCCTCCTGCCCCTCTCCCATCTCCAGCGAGGCCAGGACGGGGCTCTGCCTGGCTGTGCTTTGTGCATCTGCCTCTATCTGTAGGTGCCACTAACCCCAGAGAACAAGGTCCCCCCTAAATCTGTCTCCCCAGCAATCAGCACCCTGGAGTCACCTTGGAAGCAAGGGATTAATGATTGCTGAGTAAGCAGCCAATAGGGCACACGGGCTAAGGTGTCATAGTTTCATCCTGGGACACATTGGTCTGCAGAGGTGAGACCCACAGCAGCAGCAGGAAGGAGAGGAAGCAGGAGGGCCTGACTGCTCTCTCCAGGCTGGAGCCAGAGAGCTTGTGGGTATTGGGGTGGGGGGGGGGATACAGGGGTGGGGTCTGTCTATTTTGAATGGATTACTTTAAACACTAACAGGCTGCATTTCAAATTTCCTGTGGGTGGAGGGCAGAGGAGGATTATGGTAGTTGGACAGGCCTTGATATAAAGAAGAGGAAAGAATTGCACATGGAGGTATTTTCTCCCCAAATTTTCTTGACATTTTTGTAAAAAAAAAAAAAAAATTAAAAGAAAGATTCAATTCCCTTTCCCATCTGCAGTCCACTTGGCCAGCCTCTTGATCCCTTTTGATAGATGTGTTTTGATCCGGGCTCACACAAAGACCCTCGACCACCTCTCCAGTTTAAGGAGAAGCAGCTGGAGCCTGCTTCTTTTAAGTGGCCTGTGTGCTGGCCTTGCCAGGGGGCCTCCTCTGGGACCCACCTTGGGGCCCTCCGCAGCCGCCCATGGACCGTCTCTGGCATGAAGGAGACAAGGGTGTTGTACTCTCTTCCTGGGCAAGCTCACTTCTCCCCACATTGGGAGCCCATTCGAACCACCTTGCGCAGGAACCCTCAGGGAGACTGAGAGAGCACTTGTTTGTGGAAGGCTCACCTGCCCTTTTGGGAGGCCCTGTGAGCCTCTCTTCACTTCTCCCCTCCCCCAGCTCATATATAAAAAATATACAAATTTAAGGGAGGGAGCCAGAACTCATTCTGTTTCCTTCTTTCTTCTTTCCCCAGCTGGCATGGGCTCTTGGTGCACTTTATAGAATCATTCCCTTCAAAATGTAATTTTAGAAATGTCAAGTTGATTTTGAGTTCTGGGAGAGTGAGAAAAGCATCCATCAGCTTCAGAATTAGAAACGTACCAACTTAGGAAGAACCAGCACTTTTTGTGGAGCATTTTGCCCGAGAAAACATGATCTGCTCAGAGTTGGCAGCCCTGGGAGCCTTGAGATGCCAGTGGGCACATGGGCCGGGCTCATCCACTGGGCTATGGCCAGTTTTTCCAACGGGTGTGGGACCAGGGCTGAGGTCCCCAAAGGTGCTATGTGTGGCTGTCCAGCCATCTGGGGAAAGATGACACCTGCCAGGCTTCTCCTGTCAGCAGCCCATGCCTACGTCCTGGGGCCAGCTAACAACTCCACACTTGCCTCTCTCAGACGCTGCTGCAAAGAGCCCCTCCCCTGAGGCCAACCCTGGCAATAACTCAGGACTAAATATTCATACTGTTTGATTTAGCCAACATATCAAAGTTGCACCTGTCTCAGTGATCACCTAGTGCCCACCAGATAAGCCAGGGCCTGCTTGGGAGTAGTCCTAAAAGGGCCCCCAAAGTGGAGTTTTAGTTACTAGCAGTTAATCTTCTGCTTTGATTTAAACCATCTTCCCAGTCCTCTGACTGCCACCTCCCACTCCCAGTGCAGTGATGGAGGTCTTGTCAGCTTTGATGAAGTATGGACTTCAGCTGGAGCCAACTCCAAATGATTGGTAATGACTGCCAAGAATTCTGCATTGAGGCTTCTGATGAATGAGGGATGTTCGGGGGCAGGGAGTGGGGCCACCAATAACTGCATTAACCTCCTTGTCTTTCATGGGGCTTATAGGGTTAACTTCTTTTTAATAGGAGGTAACTAAAATTCTGGAACCCTAATAAAATTACACATGAAGGTGAGAAAATCAGAAAGGCAACCTAACCCAACTGAAACTGACTCAAACCACCACAAAAATAGGTAACTGAAAAGCCTTGGTATAAGCTTCAGGCACAACTGATTCAGGGGCTCAGTTGATGTCCTCAACAGTTGTCCCCTCTTCAGCGACCAGTTCTAATTCCCTGTGTTGTTTTATTCTAAACAGATGGCTCTCACCAGGAGGCAGCATGACCACCAGCATCCCCAGCTAGTCTTGGAAGTGAGCCCGCTCTGGGTCCTGTGACCACTCTCCAAGCACTGACACCAAGGGGTGCTGGGGTGTCTTAGTCTGTCCTCTGCTGCTACAACAGAATACCACAGATTTATAAAGGGAAGCTCATGGTTTTGGAAGCTGGGAATTCCAAGGCTAAGGGGCCACACTTGGCGGGGAGGTTCTTCTTGCTTTAGCATAACATGGCGGACGGGCAAGCAAGTACTTGAGACAGAAGAATCAGGCTGAACTCATCCTTGGTATCAGGAAAACACACCTGCATAACATTAATCCCTTCATGAAGGCAGAGCCCTCCTGGCCTAATCACCTCTTAAAGGTTCCACCTCTTAATACTGTTAAAATGGTACTTAAGTTTCCAATACATGAACTTTGGTGGCACATTCAAATCACAGCAGGTCGGATAGAAAATAGGCTGTTTTCCCAGCTTTTCACCTGCTAGGGTCTGACCCTCAAAGACTGATAATAGTGAAAGGATCTTTTCTTAAGGAAAATTGGGATGCTATTACTAGAGTAAGAAAAAATGGTTGCTGGGTGGGAAAATGCACTAGAGACCCACTGTAGTTTCCAGGGAATGACTTGGAGGAGACACTTGTTTGGGCATTCCTGAACAGTATGAAATGGGGTTAGAGAACTGGAGTGTCTTCCAGAAACCCCACTATGGAAGCCCTTTTAGGGCCAGTCCCAGGCAGGCCCTAGGACTGGAAGTTTGGCCTACTGAGGACACCTGCTATCCAGATGACTTCAAGGAATCACAAAAGGGGACAAACAGCTTTTTGCATCCAATCTGCTCATATCCAAATCAGAAAACCAAAGAGACCAGAGGGATGTCAGTAAACAAACTCAGAGTTAACTGCAGAAAACCAGGACTAGAACCTACTGAAATGTGAGCTCCAATGAGGATCCAGGCTCCAGTTTTGTTTGTCCAGGACTGAGTAGGGGGCCAAGACTTCTTTTATAGCAGGTTTTTGTTGAACTTTGCAAGTCGTACAAAAGAATTCAAAGACAGGCAGGACTCCTTAAAGAACGAATCTCTCATTTCTCCCCTAATGACCCTTGTTCTTTTTAAGTCAGTTATTAAATACACCTTCTGAGAGAATCTAGGAGAGTAGTTTAGGACAGTAGTTAAGAGTTTACTCTGCAGCCAGACAAATCTCCTGAACTGTACATCACATGCCCTCTCTGGGCTTATTTGTTTTCTCATCCACAAAATGGGGAGAGT